GACATTCCCCTATTCCTCATCCTCTATTATACTCTCTTACTCCATAGTTTTTCCACACTAGTTCTTGCAACGTTTGGGTGACAAGCTGTCTATTGCATTTTTGTTTCGTATTTATAACAAGTAGGTCTTGATGAAATTAAGCTATGAATTAAGCTTTATTAAAAACTGTTTCATAAACAGGTGATGATGCGGTTGGAAAATCATGGTTGGTACACAGATACCGTGTTGGACCAATTATAGATAAAGTTATTCAAGCCACTATTGGAGGTGAGTTCTAATCAGGTTGACATAAATTGAGTTCATGTAGGTTTAATTATTACATAACAAAGTTAATTCAGTCAAGGCTGATAACTAAAACCAATCAATAAGATTGGTTTATTGCCAGTCCAATATTTTCCTAGAATAAGATATGTGGCCCTGTTGGACCACTCTTAAAGAGCTCTGTTGTTGAAGTTTTTAATGGCTTACTTGCCTGAAATAATGCACACATTACAGGTTGTTTATCATTTTCTTCCAACTTTTCTCCTTTTTTCAGTCTTTAATGATGATTTCCAGTCCATACTGTGCATTATTATTTCACTCAATGAAATGCGAATCTATGTTACTTGTTATGAACCACATAACTTATCTTTGAGGCCTTTGAAATTCTTTTTCCTTGATTTTACAGCTACAAAGTTGTTTCATCAAGTGATACCAGAAAGAATGAAGCATAAAGTTTTGCATCCATTATGGCAGTTGACATGAAACTTCAAAATTACTTCATGTAAGTAGTTGCAAATTGTTTCATTTTGTGACGTTCTACATGAATCAAAAAAAAAAAAGCTCAACCAAACTCCTGAGAGTGCACAGTATGAACTGGAAATCACCTTAAAATGTCAGGCATGAGCAAATACTAAGTCAGCCAGAATTGCAGCCTTGAAGTTTATGTTAATAATAATTACCTTTCCTTAGTCTTTAATGTTTGGATTGTAATAGACTGTTTATTAATCAAGTTTGCTTGGTACCATAGTGGGGACAGGGAGAATATCAGCCCGAGTACTGTAAATACCTACAGTACATGTAATACATCATACCTTTTTGTGGTATGCTTTGTTGGCAATTGTCAGGCTCATTTCATCTTGCCATGGGTATTTTGGCTCATGAAACGAGTTTAATATCCAGCCTAAGCATACCAGAAAGGTACGATTATGTATTAATGTAGCCCCTCAAGCTTGAATACATGTACTAAGATATACTTATCTCATCACATAATTTTTATTGGAAGTGGATATTGCATCTTTCCACTTTAATTTCTTATTCTAGTTGACGTATATGTCAAGGAAGTACAACTAGATTACGACAGATATGTGAAAATTGGAATATGGGACACTGCTGGCAATGAAAGATTTGATTCTGTTAGTGCAATGTACTGCAGAGGAGCACATGCTGCAATTGTTGTGTATGACATAACACAGGAAAAGTCATTTTGGAAAGCAAGATCTTGGTTACAAAGACTTCAGTATGAGGCCACTCCAAATATTTTTAAAGCACTAGTTGGAAATAAAGCAGATTTTGTAAGCAAGAGGGAGGTGGAATATAAGGTAATTTGTGTTACTTTGTAGCTCTGTAGGTTTCCATCAGGCATAAGATCTGGAGTTTTATTTAAAAATCTAATTCTGTCCATATTTCTTGTGGCAATTCCCCATTTTATAATAGTTAATTTTAATTTTGCTCTCGCAAATTCGATTACTCAGTTGATTTGAAATGAAGAGGTGATCTAGTCTACATTGTATTTTCATCGAGGGGTTCGCCCACGTAGGGCCAAATGAGTCCGGGTTTTTGTAGCGCCAGGTATCGAGCAGATTATGCGTTTTAATCAAAGCCTTGAGTTCGATAGTCGATGCTTTTCTAATGTCAACAGGTTTGCCACCTCTTTTGTCTAAAGTGCCGATTACGCAATTAAAATCGCCCCCCAACACAAGATTTTCATTTNTGGAATTAAGAAATTCAATAATTCTACATATTTCGTGTCCGACAACAACGAGTTGTTAAATTTCCAGAAGCCGGGCCCACGAGGGGGTTCGCGCTGGGAGAAAGATATACAGATCACGACTGCAGAGTGGTCAATAAATATTTGGAATTATTTTGCTCTCGCAAATTCGATTACTCGGTTGATTTGAAACGAAGAGGTGATCTAGTCTACATTGTATTTTCATTGAGGGATTCGCCCGCGTAGGGCCAAACGAGTCCGGGTTTTTGTAGCGCCAGGTATCGAGCAGATTATGCGTTTTAATCAAAGCCTTGAGTTCAATAGTCGATGCTTTTCTGATGTCAACAGGTTTGCCACCTCTTTTGTCTAAAGTGCCGATTACGCAATTAAAATCGCCCCCAACACAAGATTTTCATTTCCATGTTTGCCGAGGAGATTATTTGAAAGCCCCCTTAGGAATACAACCTGTTGGCTTGGATCGTTTGGTGCATTAACATTAACCAGTACAACTTTTGTATTATCATGAATAACAATCTCTGCTGAAATATATCTCCCGTGATCATCTGAGGCAATTTTTTCAATGTTTACGTCAAGCCGTGGTTTAAAAAGAATCATAACTCCCCTGCTATGAGACGACCCATTCCGTCTCCCATCTTCCGATAGTATCGAGCGAGGAATAAGTTTCTTACAAAAAATTTATATCCGATTTTTGTTGACGTAGCGAGCGAAAAACCTGTCTTCGCTTTCTCGAACCGTTTAACCCTCTTACATTTAGCGATATAATTTTATACATTTAGATTCTCTGCAGAAGGCGAAGTCACAATATTCCAGAGAAAAAATTANTTTGTGATTGCATGTGGATTCATGGTGTACACTTTTGCTAATAGTTTTAAATTGCGTTAAAATTGAAGACATGATGACGTCGTGGCTTGCATACTTTTCAGCCGTTAAAGCTACTGCTAAATCTTGTAGTTGGACGTGACTGAAGTTCTGGGTGCCATAGATACGAAGGGAAGACATTGAGACGTAGGTGGGACTGATTCGTTGCAGTCCAGGTACTTTCAGTTTAGAGAATTGTTTTGCCCTGAGCAAAAACAGTCGTAGCTTTTTGCTGTTGTGGAGAGGGACTATGTTGACGTGGTTTGTTGTATGGGAGTAGCCAAATTTCTCATTGTCAGGTCAGCCATAGGTATAGCCTGGGTCGCGGACGCTCCATACCGCTGGTATATGTTGTTTACAGAGTTAAATATCCGTCTGCAACGCAGGCTACAGCCTACGCTGTGTGAGTTATGGTTGTGGAATTCTCCTATGTCTGTGTTTCAACTCTTTCGTAAGCTGCCGAAGTTCTTGTCCACTAAACGTACGTGTATACTTTCTTTCTTGCGTCCTCAAATTCAACAGAGTCTTCTGAGACTGCTTTGGTCGTGCCATTTTTCAAATTACCTCAGATATTCTTTGGATTGACGGTACGGAGTCATTGTTGTAAGGTCCTGATGAAAAAAGCGTTGCAATGTGATACTTGTCACTGAAATACACATAGGGATTGACGTGTTCCAACACCACATTGCTGGTGCCATAGAAACACTTAAAATAATTATGCTGCTTAACAGTAAACCGCTGACATGTTGTTTAATTTCCAATGAGAACCTAGTTAGTAGGCATAACGAGCAACATGTGTCGTTGTTTTACGTTTTGGATACTGGGCGTTTTGAATTTACTGTCTTTACAAAAGCAATCTTTATCAAAAAGAACTAATTTTAACTTTTGTAGGTTTTAATTTGGAGATGCAACAGTCGACGGATGAACTTAGGAAGACAATTCGTGAAGACAACAAGGCTTTAAATCTGGAAGGGAGAANGCAGTCCAGGTACTTTCAATTCCGAGAATTGTGCCCTGAGCAAAAACAGTCGTAGCTGTTTGCTGTTGCGGAGAGGACTATGTTGACGTGGTTTGTTGTATCGGAGTAACCAAATTTCTCATTGTCAGGACAGCCATAGGTATAGCCTGGGTCGCGGATGCTCCATACCGCTGGTATATGTTGTTTACAGAGTTAAATGTCCGTCTGCAACGCAGGCTACAGCCTACGCTGTGTGCGTTAGGGTTGTGGAATTCTTCTATGTCTGTGTTTCAACTCTTTTGTAAGTTGACGAAATTCTTGTCCACTAAACGTACATGTATACTTTGTCTTGCGTCCTTAAATTCAACAGAGTCTTCTGAGACTGCTTTGGTCGTGCCATTTTTCAAGTTACTTCAGATATTCTTTGGATTGACGGTACGGAGTCATTGTTGTAAGGTCCTGATGAGAAAAGCATTGCAATGTGTGATACTTGTCACTGAAATACACATAGGGATTGACGTTTTCCAACACCACATTACTGGTGCCACAGAAACACTTAAAATAATCATGCTGCTAAACAGTAAACCGCTGACATGTTTAATTTCCAATGAGAACCTAGTTAGTAGGCACAACGAGCAACATGTGTTGTTGTTTTACGTTTTGGATACTGGGCGTTTTGAATTTACTGTCTTTACAAAAGCAATGTTTATCAAAAAGAACTAATTTTAACTTTTGTAGGTTTTAATTTGGAGATGCAACAGTCGACGGATGAACTTAGGAAGACAATTCGTAAAGACAACAAGGCTTTAAATCTGGAAGGGAGAAGATTGTTAAGAATTTCAGACGCTGTCACAGAACTGACGGAGGTTAAAATACTTAACCTTTCACACAATGAACTCACAAGGTTGCCAATACGCACAGGCAACCTGACAAACCTCACAACGCTGAATTTGAACCACAACAAGCTAACAAAGTTTCCCGAAGCTGTTGTCAACCTGATCAACCTGACGCACTTGTTTGTGAACGACAATCAACTGTCATCACTACCGGGAAGTATGACAAGTCTGGAAAAACTGCAAGAGCTGGAATTGAAGAATAACAAAGTGAAAAGACTCTGTAAAGATATCGTTGACTTAAAGCATCTTGAAAAGCTGTCCGTGAAAGGTAACCCTTTGGCGTTCGAAGAAATTAGAAATCTCATGGAGCTGCAGTGGATTTATATAGACATTGCAGGTTAGCATAAAACATGGCCAGTTAAGCCATTTCTTGGTGCATTATGATGTAACAACATAACTGACTTGACTGCACACTTCTAGAAGTTATTCGCAATGGCCAAATTCAAAGACGCTTCTAAACCTAAAGGCACGAAAACAGAGAAACTGTTTATTCGTGCTTCAACCTCAATATGAAATATTTTGTTTTAGTCTGCTGATCGCTGGGGCCATGTTAGAATTTTACAATATATCGAAATCGTTGTAGCCTGTATGTTATTGTTTAGTGTATTTTAATGTGGATGAGAATAAGTTAAGATAATAGTAATTTGTCTAATCGTATTCGCGTTTACATTAGACAATAACACAAAGATCTAAAAAAATTAATTTGAATACATTAAACTGCCGAAAGTAATGACCCTGGTTACTTTCGGAACTAGCTGCCTTTGGGACTCGTTACTTTCGGGGGTCGTGACTTTCGGACTTTTAGGGTGTATTGCAGAGAGTATATTACAAAATGCTAACGTCGCAGGGACTGTGCTTATTTGCTACTTTCTGGTCACTTGCAGGTTTCTTTAACTGAAGTGTGCAACAGTAACCAATTTCACTTTGTGGTTGAAACTTAAGATTATTGTCTGTTTGCCTTTCCCGAAGATACAGCCTTTGCAATCAGAAAAATCACTGCATTTTCTTACAATTACACCTACAGTTCCTGCAGAAATATCAGTGCAAGGAGATGTTGCAAAGCAGCTCTATGAAAAAGCGCTGAAGGATGGATCTGTGAATGTTTATCGTGGTAGAATATTCTTCATTGGCCAGGATCGTGCTGGAAAAACAAGTTTGAAGAAATCTCTCTTAGGTTTGCCATTTAACCCTAAAGAACAGAGCACTGAGGGAATCCAAGTTGATCCTTCAGTCTGCGAGATTGAAGTCGAACAAGTTAAAAACTGGAATTCCACTTGCGAGAATAAGCCAAGTTTGGCGGAATTTTCTGAAGACATATCAAGAATGTTGGCTGAGAAACAATATCACTGGATACTCAATGAGGCTAAGAAAAACTTGGAAATGAATGTAGAACTAGACGAATCAATAATGGCCGTGGACAGAAAAAGATCAAACACAAATCAGGTTTGTTTAAAGTGAACGGGATGCTCATCATAAAATGAAAAAGATACTAAAAGGTTCCATGCTCCCTTATCGGCTGAAGTTCTCTATTACTAGTGACCTCTCACGCGAAAACGTACACTACGGCTATCCGTTCGAACGCTTAAAAACCGTTCGCTTGCCGTTTGCCATCCGTTTGTCATCCGTTCGTGATCGATGGGATGCCGTTCGAACGGATTGGATCATCCGTTCNTTGTGTTGCTTGTGTGGTTCATAGAGAGAGCTTGGGCTGCCTGTGGTATACTAATGCAAATGCTGCAATCTGATTGGCTGGGCCACTCGTATACTATCAGCCATTAGTAGAATTCTATTGATATACTAATGCAAATGCTGCAATCTGATTCGCTGAGCTACTCGTATCCTATCACCACTAGAGTGCAGTGGCCAGAGGTCGTCTACGAAATGGCGAAGTTTTTTATGTTTTAACGAAGTTTTGGAGGAACATTTTGTTGCATATGGTAAATAAATTCATGAGAAGACTAAAAGAAAAACAACGGTTCCTTGACTTTAAAAAATCTTGAAATTATTGAAGAAATTAGGTGCGTGCGCACACAACTTCAATTTCAAATGACAATTCAATCCGAGCGATCTTTCTAAGGTCCAAAGGTTAATAATACGTCGACAAGTTATTGGAAACGGTTATTTAAAATAAATTTCACTTAGAATTCTACTCAAACAATTAGACTTTTCGCTCTCGATTTCTATGAGGTGATACTTGATTCGGCCTTTGGCCTCATCAACTATCACCACATAGAAATTTCGAACCCATAATGTAATTGTTAAATAGATCTTATTACTAACTGTATAGTTTCACTCATTTCTGTGAAAATCGCCATCAGCGTAGCAATGGCGCTATGTTTCTCCTTACTTTTATCTTCGATTGAGAAGGAAAGACATAAAATAGAAAGATTAATTAAAGACTGTTAAATAGACACCGCATTAACAATGAGGATGCCCTAACGGGAACACAAATTGTTTTAAAACCTCCATTTTAGGTTTCTGAAAGTAGTGGTGATCTCAAGAGCAGAATCATTCCCTCGTCAGCGAGTAACTCGCGAGTACAAGATAATGCAAAGAATACAGTTGATGACCTCGTAGATGGTGGTGGTGAAAGTTATAATAGAGATTCCGCATTGATGATTGATGGTACCTCACCCCCAGATGATGTCACAAGAAAGGCTAATCAGTGGTTGAAGAACATATTTCGTGAGCATCTGGATGCTGGAAATGTAGGCAACAAGGCGGAGTCGACAGTTACCGTAGATTTGTGGGATTTTGCCGGACAACATCTGTACTACGCTTCTCACCCTGTGTTCCTGTCATCACGAGCAGTGTATGTCCTGGTGCATAACCTCAGCAAGGCACTAGACGCCCCAGCCCAGCCCTGTGTTCGACAAGGAACACATGATAAATTTTTGGAAAACCCAAACAACGAAACAAATCTGGAGAATCTGCTGTCATGGCTAGTAACAATTCACAGTATCAGACCAACAGGAGAGGAAATGGTTGGCAACTCAGGCGGCATGCTGCCATATCTCCGACCTCCAGTGTTTATTGTTGGCACTCATGCTGATAAACCAGTTGAGGATATCGAGGCTGCGACATCAAAAATACAGCAGGGAATGTCTGGTAAGGAATACGAGAAGCATGTTATCCGGCCATTCTTCAGCATTGACAACACTCTGGGCAAGAAGTCATTGCTACGCAAGATCAAGAAATGGTTTACAGGTAAACGATCTTTTTTTTTTGCTGGACCACTGATTCAGCCAAAAAAAAATTCACATAGGTTCAAGTCTGCATTTGGTTTAAGTATAAAAGCCATCAGTAAAGGAAATCGGTAAAACCTGCAGGATGTTATCAAATACTGGCGATGCCTTTCATAGAATTGACTTGTTTTGTATGGAGGGAACAGTTTTAATACATCGAGATTATATATTGCGATAAAGATAGCCTTGGAAAGATTTACATTGTTAACACCCTCTTCCTAAGATACCTCAAAAGGTTCATGGCTGGGTCTTCGGTGTAAGGACCATTTAGAGTATATTGTTTGTAAACGTTTAACACCATCTTTCCTGAATCATGCTCTCGAATTGTGGCGGAAATAAGCACAAATCACAAACGTGTACAGAGAAGACACAGGTGATAAGAGCTTGTCTGTAACAACTGCCATTCGCCTAGGATCAGAGTGGATGTTACGCGTAACTTTGTTTGGGTGTTCTACAGTTGAGTGTCTTGTTACTATTTGTAATTTTCAGGGCAGGGGAGTGACACTGATGTTGCTAGTGATGATGGAATTCATGCTCTTCGAACCAAAATCATGGATGTTTTGAGACAGGAGCCATACATGGGGGAGAAGATACCAGTGAAGTAAAGTGAAATGACAAGAGAAAGAGATCTTCACACCTTTACAATAACAGCAGTTGCACAAGAGGCCTGTAAAAAGGATTTAATTTCTATGATCTCCCATTGAGACCTTTTTGGGTTTCTTTGCAACATAATTGCTTGTGAATATCTCTTTCTTTTTATATATTTCATTTATGCCCTTTCGTGCACTTCGTAGTTCTACACGGGGGTAGTGTAGTATATTTAGGGTCTGTCTGTCTGTCTATCTGCCATCATTTTTATCACATCATCGCAACTAGTGTTTCCATTTTCCCTCAATCTTTTCATTACTTTTTACTTACCGTATTTTCTCGGTTAAACGCCGTGTGGCGTTCATTTCAAACTTGGTCTTGTACGTAGACCCGACATTTAGTTTTTCCTGCATTTTTTAGCCTTGGAGTTTATTAGCAAGGGCTTTTGTATATCATTTCGGACAGAAATATATTTAACCACGAGAGCTTAACCTAGTACTATGCCTCCAATAAATGCTAGAAGGGCTTATTTATAACTCTATCTTAGAGAACCGACATTTAATTTAGAAACTATGGTACTATCCTGGGAAAGAGGTTTTGGAACGTATATACTTTATAGATTCATTGAAATATCGAGGAGATTATTAACTTAGGCTACATAAGTGGAGAGAACCAAGGAAATACCCTTCACTGAATTTATTAAAGACGAAATGCGCGTTTTTATCGAGAAACTAGGATTTTTGACGAGCCATGTCTTATATGTGATTAAACTTAAAATTTCCATGAAGTATTACATGGGGATTTTTCATGGACTTTCTTTCGAATTTTACAGGGAAAATATCCGTAGAAATCTTTCGATGGGAATTTTCCATTTATATGTCATCTTGATAACAGCATTTCCCAAGATTTTTTTCTGTGAAATTTTCCTAAGGGAACTATCAATTATCCCTTTCATGTAATCTTCGAAGCCCATGTTTTGGAATGTCATCTTTTCTCTTCGGTTAGGAGATTTCAATACAGCATACACTTTACTACCAAACTATACAAACTCTTGGTTACAAAAAAAAGACGATTGAAACAGAAAATTAGTTAGATTCACTCAGAATAACTAAAAGCTAATTGCGTTGAGTGAAATGAAACAGTATTAACTATTTTATATGAAGAAGTTGGTTGGAATTATAGCTTCAGGGGGTGGGGGGGGAGTAAGGAGACAAAATAAGGGGAAAATGAAAAATATGAATAAATAAGTAAACGGCGGGAACAAATCACTAAATCACTAAATACCTAGGAATAAAGTAAATTAGCAATAAATAATTGACTAGTAACTTTCAGGTGAATGTTGGCAATATGGTTGAAAGATGTTATGTTTAACTTTGTTTTTAAAAATTTTAAGGGGGAGATGTTTAATATATGAATACTTTTCGAAGCTAATTAGTTATTTTGTTTGATTGTTCTTTAGGTGGTTCAACTTCGAAAAGGTCGTTGAAGCTTTGGTAGCTGAGAATGTGTATCACATGAATGTGGAACAACTTCAAACGTATGCCAAAGAAGTGTGCTTTATTGAGGATGAAGACCAGTTCTACGCCATGCTACAGTTTTATCATGA